CGAGCAATGGAGTGAAGCGAACGGTGTACAGTTCAGCACTAGTGAGTAATCCAGTATCCCGTCAGTGTACTGTGTATGGCAAAGTAACTCCAAACAGCGATTTTGCACTGACACATCAAAACTGATGTGTGGGAAGAGAACTGTAAATCGACAGGAAGAATGAAAAATCGTTTTCATTTCTAATCGGTCTTCAAACTATATCTTCACGCAGCCTGTCAAACACTGAACAAGCACTGGATTCGAGTTTCGCGCTTTCTCAGACTGATTAGTGGCGCGAATCGACCAACCTGTCCCGGGTTTGAACTCCGAACTCATAGCATGAAAGGTGCGCGTATTACCAATGTGCTAGATAGGAGCTGGAGATGGCCAGAGGTAGCGAGTATTATTCCTTTAAGACTTTTGTCTGCACTTCCAGGCAGTCAGTTGTTTTGAATAAAATGAAATTTGTGTTTGACGCTCTATTACTCATTCCTCTGGAGTCGTGAGAGAGAATTCCTACTTATTTTAAACATTGATTTCGTCTTGTTATCGACTGTGGTCATCTTTCAAATAAGCCCCACTCAGAATAACGAGTCAAACTTACTTTCTGTGTCAACACCTGTCTAACGGCCCAACTTCACAAACAAATGAATCCAGCTTCCCTGACCAAATCTATCCATTGTTTACTATATCTACTTGACTCATGTCCCGTGAACACAAAATCTTACATCCTACATTACTGATCTTCATAAATCATGGAACACACACGGCTCAAACTTTGCCTGTTCTGATTTCTGCTGTTATATACCGCTAGCTATTTCTGACATACTGTAACTCGAGTCGATGGACCAAATAAATACCCGTAACCTCAGAATCGTGATCCTGACATGGAAAGACCAACTGCCAAACTAACGCGACACCTATTGATTGCTCTAAGTGAACTACCGCTTAAACTATAAAAGTATATTTTTACTTGATGGAATTAGAAGGATGGATTATATTATGGAGCGGATTTCGTCGTGTAGAGAGCAAAGGAAGCGTGAACGGATTACCTATGAAGCATTGTAGTCAGGCTTGAGTTTTTTTCAATGGAGTCATAACCCTGGAATCTAGTTCTAAGATGAGTGAAAAATAATATCCGCAACAAACTCGCGAAAATGGCTTGCACTATATTGTGTTTAAAATAAACGAAAAACTGTAGCATGCTTTATTTCTACCTATGAGGTCCCGGGTTCGATCAATTGGTTGGTTATTGATTAGACCCAACGGGGTAGAAACAACTGTCCAGTGCCCTCCATCATTTCAGGTCTCACTTCAGTGGCTCCGTACACGGCAAAACATCACTGGCACAATGATGGCACGGTAAAAATGAATGACAACTAAACAATTAAAGAGGAACATCAAGCCCTCATATTTCATCACTAAACATTCTTTACATCACAGTGAACTAACGGTGGTAGCCAAGCTATTGAATACGATAAACATGTAGGAGATAAATTGCTCAAGGAACGTTCAAAATACCTCAATTTGCCAAAATCCAACTACGATAATAACTTATTCACATAACACGTACAATACAAACGCCCTTTGTTTAAACTATAGAATAGAATCACTTATGGGAAGCCTGACCACAAGTCAAATGAAAACTATGCTTTATGGATTCCACTTACAGACACATACAAAAACAAAGAATACATAACAAACCATGTACAATTCGGAAATGCCCTATAAACTTCATCACGTAGAGAAAGACATACAAATAAGTATGTCATACTGCATGTGCTGGGAAAGAAGAGGTTTGAGTAGAGGGGGGATCTGAAATTTACTCATCCTGAGACCGAAGATATTCCTCACGTTCATACCGGTCAAAGTACCATATACCAAAAGCAAGACGCTCACTTTGCGCAGAGCAAGCAAGCACCGGTTGTACACAATGCAAAATGCGCTGATCCGCAAAGAATAGGACAAATCGGTCCAGAGTTGGAAGAATTGCCAACGGTTTCGATTGTTCCGTAGTTGGTGAACATTTGGATGATATGGATTTGTCTTGGTACGGCCAAATGACAAACTGGCCACCCCATTCCCGCTCCCAATTTGGATTCAAGTAGTACAATGCAGTTAAAATACGTCCATCACACAGTGTATCCGGGTTGTCATAGTGAGCTACATAGCCCACCGCTTCTTTAATCTCTTCCGGTTGTCTGCGGTAGGATGATAGAGTTGCCCAACTTTTCCCATTAACCACTGCCCATTCACCATATCGATTCTGGACACAGCCACCTACAGCGCGTACCACAGCATCGATGTAGAGAAATAGCAATTGAACGTATGGTACCAGGCATCTTTCCTCTGCGTCAATGGGAGATGAAGAGATTGGAAGATCCGGATGAATCCATGCGACTAAATCCCGCCTAACTTCGACAGAATTCGATTCGTTCACAGACACTTTACCCGGACGAAATAAATGCGGTTGTTTACGCCAACGATTCCACGCCCATTGACTGATTCGAACAGCGTGCTCAGGACCGAGAAGGTTCTTCATTGTAAAAAATCCCCTTTCTCGAAGGCCACCTTTGGCCAATTCGCCAATTCTTCGTAGACGCTCTGCAAATGGGTCACAATGTAAAACGGCGTTCACAATTGAATGTTTAGTTGCATGATTCCAAAGGCGAGAAAAACAGGAGTCGAAATCTATAGGAAGTTCAATATCGGTTCTAATGGATGATCTTTTGGCTTGATAGTTCACCGGTTCAAGTTTCCTTTTCTCTGCACGTGACCGACGTTGGTCGGAAGACTCGGATTTGTGAACTTCATTTTTGTCGCGTGCAGATACTGGATTATACAGTACTTTCCAACAAGGAACCCCGTCCGGGACTTCAATTTCACCAGCAAGATAACAAGAAATGCGCGTCAACTCATTTTGTACGTCCGAATCCTTTGAATACACTGGTTCAGGTCTGCAACTTGTGTCACAAATGGCGTCCAAATTATTGCAATTCATCAGTTCTGTAAATGTTTAGGATAGGACGCATTAATGTGCAAACTCATGTGAGATCGAATTCACCCATGGTGTCTCTCACGAAAACGATTCACAACCTTTAACTTCCATAAAATTGCATTAAACACACGATTCGAGGAAACGTACATCCACGGTGTTTAACTAAACAGCCAGCGATTGTATGTGATGGTCGCACACAGACGAACCGTGCACAGTCGCCAACACGCGGTCATGCTGTCTGACTGGCGCACCGAATAGACAGGCTACGTAAACCAATCAAAATCACCTAACATTCAGCCTTGAAAGCACGAATGAACCAGTCAAAATTCGCACGTGACTGCCGTGAACCCTAGACGAACGAATGTGAAAATGAAGCCAGGTGCACATGATCGTTGTAAGTACTCACTTTCATCGTTGACCGAATCTCGCATCGATTGGTGGGGGCTACATACCGTCGAAAGACAGTTTTCTCACTAGTCAAGTTTAATATGCCTCCCCACCACAGTGTGAGACCACGATGAAAAGTTCAAGGGACCACAGTCTTCGCACCAGTGAAACTCCGTTGCACGTTAATGGCTCTACAGCTATTCAGAACCTACCACACCGGAAAGCCTCGGCCAATAACTTTCACAAAATGAATCTTCTTTTTTCTTTTTTTAATTTTTACTACCTTTTAATCAATACACGATGATACAATTACTTACTATGAGCCAGAGTACTATAATGAATTGATGTTCAAAAAGTCATTTCCAAGTAATGAATCGATAGACCTTAGAACCCTCATGTGATACGCACAAAAATCTCATGTAAAAGACCATGTCTTGTTGGTATCATAAATCCTGAAAATTTTCGCGCACATTTTCATTTGTTCAATCAATGTTCCAGCGAAATCCTTTTTGAACTATCTGTTCCGCTGAATGTTATGCTTTTTCGACGGTGAAGATCACTGTAAATATCATAACTGCGACGTAGTGCATGTAAAAACCTCCGAAATATCTCTGGCTTCTCTAATAACATATAGGATGTATTATTCATATTCGTCCTATGCTAACCGTTGTTCTAGTTGTTCAAGTAGTTGAGTGCGCTGGTATTTCTATGTATTATCCCGTATATCCACTACTGCATGTGTTTTAGGGTTAAAACCAAAATAGAAGAGTAACTTATCAACTTTTCTCATTTCATACAGATTATTTCGAGCTGTGAATTTGATTGAGTACAGTTTTATTTACGCATGTGTCACGTCAGATGCGGTAACACAAGGATTATGGTGGTCGTTACCATCCTCTCGCATGTTTGATGAATACCAAGGGCATCAGTTGTCTGGGCTGACAGGCCTTTAAGAATCGACTAGGAGGCAATCAAGCAGCATCTCCTGAAGATGGCTCCTCGGGAATCTCATATTTGAGACCTAGGGAATGACGGGTTACGCGACCTGTCTATTGTCAGCGTTGTCACTGGTTGTTCCCACAAACGTCTCGGGTTAATCAGTCAGCGCGAAAGTTCGACTGTTCACATTGTCCAGTCGATCACCTGCTAGTGATTGATACGGTCGGACTGATTTGACCGTATGGCGACAGGATCACATTGATGAGTATAACAATGATCCAAACGCAGTAAATCACTCACGTTCGTTCTGTACAGTAGCAAAGAATGATTTGAGCAAACTATACTCAGTGAAAGATTTCAAATTAAAAGCACTCTTGCTCGCATCTCTCGTTGCGCTTTGCAGAACCGATATAGAAGATATATCAGATGCGAACTGTATTCGGGCTCAACGGATAACGTTTGACTGCTGGATTAAATTTGAAGAAACTTTGATTGTCGCTGACTTGAAGGTATAATGACATACAACAGAGAGCTTCAGAGTCTAGTGGTATTTAAAACGCTGTTTCGTGGCTTTGTTGTCTATACACATTTTTCAATATAAAATATACAACCTGGTCTTTCCATAAAAAGGGCTTTCTTATTTGAATAGAATCAAAGAATGGTTAAAGGGGTTGGAAGTGACCGAGAAAAACTTTGTCATGTTTGTGACCCAGCCAGGATCTCGGGTTACAGGAATTTCATGATTGAAGGGGGCGGTCAACCAACCTTCAGTAGATGTCCTCCCTTCGCATCCCGGAGGTCCAGTCTCTGTTGGCCGTTGATTATCTCTTCTGCGTTTCTCACAAACACCTTTTCTGTTTCGAATTTATGAACTACCACATTCATAATCTTTTATAATGCCCGTGGAACGTTACTTGAGACATCCTGTGCTTTAAACCTCAATTAGTAGGTTTAATTCCCCAGTCCTACAACTTTTGGTTCCAAAGTGGTGACGTTTCTGCTCGGTGACCTTATGAACATCTCATTGTTCAATTATTCGGTCAATCTCGTTTTTGGTGGATGGATGGATGGATCAGATGAGAACTAAAAAGCCAGCGGTAATTGTGAACTCTGAAGTGCAGTCTGGACGTGTTATCATTACGATTAGAGCTATTTTCTGGATAAACTGTGCAGTAGTTGACTGTCTTTCCGACACCTTCAGACTCGGAAACATCTGATCAGTCGGAATTTACCACCCGTTTCCCAAATCCAAAAATATCGATTCCGTTCTCAGATAGTGGAAAAAGTAAAAAATATGGTAGAAATTCTTGCACAAAAATACACAGATCAATCACGCACCGGTCTAAAGCTGGAATCACAAAAGTGGAAGTGGAATCAACCAGAAATACGGAAGTAAATTTCTGCGGTGACCGTGTAACGAGTAGGCATGCACTACGGTACAGCATCCAGGTAACCAATCAAGAAGCGGATTTTCCGACCAATCCTGTGATCTCAAACGGCACTAACCGGATTGGTTGAATGTAAGAAGGCACACAACTGAACCATATCGCTCTGCATTGGACATCGAAGAATCAATCGACCAATGATTATTTGAGGCTCGTCATATTTATTTGCATGATTTTCCGAATAGAATTAACTGTATCCACAACTCGTCTTGGTCCTACCTGACTTTGTTTTCAGTCCGAATACGAGTTCGCGCTATTCAGTTCTGATTCCTATTGAGAATACTACAATTTACCACATGAAAAAGGCAAATAGTTAAGCACGTGGCCATGATTTGTAGGGTTCTAATACAAATAGCACAGCTGATCTGGACAGTAAATCAGTAGAGTAAAATAATCACAGATCTATTGTTCAACAGATTAGACATATAATGCAACTCAGTAAACAATTGTCTCTCAGTAATGTGCTCAGACAGTACGCAACGCCAGCAAATATTTGGTTACAACCTCATCCTGAATAATGACTAAGCCCTGACGGATAACTACGAAAGCTGACATAATGCGGATATTTAGTGCATGATGTAAGCCTTGGTTATCTTGATAACCTTCGAGTCCGGTTCTGATATCTCGTGAAATGAGAAACTTTCTGAAAATATTGAACATCGCTTTCTGAGTTCAGAGATTCAATCACTGAAAAATGTCACAATGAATGATACAAGTTAACCATGTATTTACTCCTTGAATATCCCGCTGCTTTATCTTCTGCAAGAGTCTTTGGTTCTATCCCCTACTTCATTTTTACATCTATTGCACTAAAAAATATGAAAGTAAAAAATAGCCATTACGGGTAGTTGGATCTTTCATCAATCTCATCAGTTGATTGGCCTACGTATGATTATTCATGCATTCACTAGCCCCGTTCTGTGCACTAATCAATACTACAATTTCCGGATTTCAACAAACACTTCGTGATAACATCACTTCATCGATCAAACCAGACACACATCCAAAGAAAAGGTCCGGTAAATCAAAATAGGCACAAATAGAAAATACGCCATCAGAATATGAAGCCTCCACATCCAGCCCAATGGACTGGATTGAGTTATACTAGAATAGAGAAAGTGATTAAACGACACAAAAAATTTTAAACGTGCCAGTTGTTTTTGAACCTTTCAATAGCACATCTTTCACGCCTAATGTTTGCTTCGACTGTAGTCTATTGTTCAGTGTGATGTTTACTACTACCTCAGATGTTCTGCCTCGCTCGCACACACACACACACACACACACACACACACACACACATCATATCAAGTCAAGTCGAGTCACAAATCGCTTTATTCATCCCAATCGACGAATTCTCAGCTGTCCATCAATTAACCGCAATTGTTCTCTATCTTTGACGCGTGAATTCATGTGTTTATGCACCGACCAATCAACATGTGATCTTTTCACTTCCTTTGCAACTTATTTTGCCACGGTAAAAGGGTAACTAGTTTTTCGTAAATCCTGCATCTAATATCTCTGTATTTCATCTGCCTCCGGCATAGTTTCGAATATATGACTGATTCAGTGTATTCACTCTTGCTCACAGATCGTACAACAACTAATAATTTTACTTCTTTAAGCGTCATTTAATCTGTAAAGTATCTAGTATTCAAAGACTTTAAGATGAAGCCGTATCAAATCAACAGCACGCAGAGACTTAAATTTGCATGGAATACACTCAGGACGACTACAATCGATCTAACCGTGTGCTCAAGCTCCCAAGAGTCGAACGTGTAACTCAGAGATAAGTGTCTCATCTGGTGCACAATTCTGTGGAATCTGGAGAAATAAAAATGCAAGTGCTGTGTGCCCCCTGGTCTCATTCACACAAGAAATCTTCAAACGTATGGGAAATGTGGCGAATAAATGAATCCTCCAGAAAGATATAACCAACACAGAAATGATTATACACAGATCCGCTGCCTATCAATAAGAAGAGACTAAAACAAAAACGTTTGATGTGTAGTTATGTCAACTACTTAAAATATGACCATGCATTTTGCAAATCAAGTTGTCCGTATCTAAAATTGAGATACTTGAGTATCATTTCAATTTGGTGGGGTAAACACTTCCGCAACGGGAATTCAGTGAGTAAGGCTTCCTCAGCACAGGATATTGTATTGTATTGTATTGTATTGTATTGTGTACAACTTTTGCAAGCGCTGGAGCTCACATTTCAGTTAAAAA